TGTTGCTAAAAGCAGTTGCGTTATCCGATAAGCTTTCTATATCACATAGAGGATGGAGAGAAGGATTAAACGACATAACAGGATTCTTTTATCTAGTCACACAAAGACAAGAAAATATTAATTTCTACTTCTGCAAATGTATTCCCTTTTAAGCATGAAAACAACACCCTCCCTTTCCTCCACCCAAAAACTTTGACATTCTGTATTGTAAAAAAAAAAAAATCAAAAAGCAAAAAACTGCTGCAGGTCAGTTTGTTCAATCCGTATTTATAACATTAAGAAAAGTCTTTCCAGGGCCTTAAGCCTTTCAAACAAACTTATGAATTCTGGTGAGAAAATACTCTTTAGGTACTTGGCGGCGGGGGTTGGCTAGAAAGGGTCAATGGGGGAAAAGGATACATCTGTATTACATTCAACAATAAAGATAAGTTTTAAAAAGTAAATTTAAAAAATTCAAGTACTTGGCACATCTACAGAAAAAATTGACATGTGAAAGTTACATTCTTAGAAGACCAAAAAGTGACTGATTTAGAAGCAAAAAAATATGAATTTTAAAAGTGATTAAATAAGTTTTTTCTTTAAACAACTCTATGAAGGATTAGTCATATATTCAGTCACTCATTAGTTAAACAATATCTGAGTACCTATTATAGGCACAGAGACTAACATGTTACCAGAGGAAGAAAAGATAAAACTATCAGATACATTTGAAATAAGTGATGACATGATTAGATCTCTCCTGGAGATGAGAAATACAAAGCACATCAATGTAACAGGAAAAAAGAAAAACGCGCCACTCTAACTCTTCAACAATGAATTTTTAAATTTTCCATTCTCAACTGATCACTTGAAGAAATAATACAAGATGATTTAAAGTAAAGGAAGCTAAAGTGAAAACGTTACAGTCACCAGTTAAGAACCAAATACTATTTTACTAAGTCACATGTTCCTAAACTTCAGCTAGAAAAATGGGAGAAGTACACTATTAAAACATAGGTTAATAATTTCAAGAAAAATATAAAGTATCTGTACCTGATTTGTCCTGTAGTTCATCTAGTCTCTCCCCTCTTTCAATTACCTTTGTAATATTTTCTTGCATGACATCAATAACTTCATCCACCTGATTCTGAACACTAGTTTAAAAAAAAGATGAACAATATTTAATTTTCTCGAGGATTTTATAATTTTTGAAACTTTCATTAGACATGAAAGAAAATAGCAAATTTTCAGAATTATTCAACTATGAAATGTAAAGGTACTGCAGAATTTAGTCAAATAGCTTGACTCTGACCTATCAGCTTCATCTTCTTTTCAGCAGGGAGCTGAGGCATCACACGGACACAGCTGTAACCTAAGTCTGCTGTATAGTTCACACACTAGGACTAACGAAGGAGTCTGCCCAAGTATGTTAGGAGCTCATGAAAACACCGTTCCCCAAATGGAAATGTAAGGTCTGCTCCTGGACACTGACACTCAATGGGTAAAACTCTTTTCTTCACTGCTCCTCGGTTTTCACTTAAACAGTGTTTAAGACACTGGCAATACCTGGGAAGGTCTGAAGCACCCACAATGGAGCAACTCGGAAAACCTTCATGTTTGTTGATCTTCAGAACAAAAATATGATTTCCTCCTTTATATCAGGTGATGAGGGCCTGTTCTATCCAAATTTTAGGCTGTTCAATGAAGGTTTAATATACATTCAAAATTTTAATGACTGGCTTTCAGCTGCCTACTCTCACTCTGGAGTACATCAACACAGACGTGTTCACTGTTTTAAGTGTCTATTTTTCCTCTGTTGCTCCAATCATTAGGCAAAAACGACCTTATATTAATTTATGAAATAAGTCATGGTGACACCTCGATTTCAGGCCTTTGAGACCCTGTGCAGAGGGTCGGCTATGCAGTGACTGAGCTCCTGACCCATGGGAAACCTGAGATGACAGTTGTGTCCTGTTTCAGGCTGCTAATTGCAGGCCAATTTGTTACACAGCAACAGAAAATAAAAACACCCTGTCTAGTACTTGAATCAATTTCTTGGGACCTTGGTTCTATATTTCAGAATCCATGAGCTAGGATTAGGATAAGTGTGGACATATTTCTTCACACCAGCAGCTACCTGAGTAAAGTCCAAGTATCTCATCAAAAATGTGATACCCCGGAGGAACCAAGATGGCGGCATAGGTAAACACCTGAACTTGCTGTCTCGCACAACCACACAAAACTACAACTAAAAAAAAAGTGGATATCATCCAGAACCACAGGAAGGCTGGCTGAGTGGAAGTTCTACAACAAGAAGGAAAGAGAAAAGCGCATCTAGACTGGGAGGAGGTGCAGAGGTGCGGAAGAGCAAAGGTACGGAGGCTGGCAGCTGGGTACACTGTGGTCTTTTTCAATTGGGAGGGAGATACAACCTCCCGACTGCTCTGAACTCCAGTACCAGGTGAGACTCTGGGGACCCAAACTCATATGGGGAGAAACTGGACTATCTGGCATTGGGCCAGAACACAAGGGCGGCTTTCTCTCAGAGGTGGTCGCAGCGTTCATTGTTCCTGCATGGGGCCACGGGACACAGAGACCCAGGGACCTATAAGGGACAGGGCCAATGGGCAACCATTGCTATTTGCACCACCCTGTGATTTCCTGAGACCACCCTCCACCCAATTTACAACTCCACCCAAGCTGTGCGCAGAGGCGTTTGCATATGAATGGTCTGGCCTTTTGCAACCTAATCTAACAAACTACAGCTGGGTCAAAGAACCCCAGAGCTTCCAAAAGAAAGCCTAAGGCTCATCAGCAGCCTGCATTGCTTCACAGCTGTGCCTCATCTGGGCACCTCCAAACCCCAAACAAAGATGAGGAATCTGCAGATCTCTCTATAGCTCCTGCTGGGTGGCCTCAGGCAGTGGCTGACTTTGCACCTCCTTGGAGATCCAAGAGCCAGTGTACCCAGTGGTCAAAGTGAGACCACACCAGATTACAACTCTTCACATCCGTAAGAGACACACTCAGGTGGCAGACTCAGTGAGCACCAAAGCCCCACTGAAGCAAGTCCTGCCCCATAAGGGTGTTTCCAGCACAGAAGTTCTCCCATTGTAGATACAACTGGTCCTCACAGCCAACTGACCTGGAGGTCAATTCCTCCCAATGATACCAACAGCAATTAAGGCTTAACTACAACAAGACTGTGCACACAGCCCACAAAGGGGTGCACCAAGAGCATCCATCTCAGGTGACTGGGGAGGCTGAGCCACTGGGCCCTATAGGACACCTAGCACACGAAGCCACTCTATCAACACAGGGAAGCATAAAAAAATGCGGAGACAAAGAAACATGTCACAAATGAAAGAAATGGAGGAAAGCAAACTACTGGATATAGAGTTCAAAACCACGGTTATAAGGTTACTCAAGAATCTTCTAGAAACCTCTGAGAAATTTAGTGAGACCCTCAAGGATATGAAAAAGGACCAATTATTAATTAAGCATACACTGACTGAAATAAAGAATAATATACAGAGATCCAACAGCAGACTAGAGAATCCCAAGAATCAAGTCAAAGATTTGAAATACGAAGAAGCAAAAAACACCCAACCGGAAAAGCAAAATGAAAAAAGAATCCAAAAATATGAAGATAGTGTAAGGAGCCTCTGGGACAACTTCAAGCGTACCAACATCCGAATTATGGGGGTGCCAGAAGAAGAGAGAGAGCAAGATATTGAAAACCTATAATGACAGAAATAATGACAGAAAACTTCCCCTACCTGGTGAAAGAAATAGACTTACAAGTCTAGGAAGCGCAGAGAACCCCAAACAAAAGGAATCCAAAGAGGATTACACCAAGACACATCATAATTAAAATGCCAAGGGCAAAAGACAAAGAGAGAATCTTAAAAGCAGCAAGAGAAAGACAGTCAGTTACCTACAAGGGAGTACCCCATACGACTGTCAGCTGATTTCTCAACAGAAACTTTGCAGGCCAGAAAGGAGTGGCAAGAAATATTCAAAGTGATGAATAGCAAGAACGTACAACCAAGATTACTCTACCCAGCAAAGCTATCATTTAGAATTGAAAGTCAGATAAAGAGCTTCACAGATAAGAACAAGCTAAAGTAGTTCATCACTGCCAAACCAGTATTATATGAAATGCTGAAGGGTATTCTTTAAGAAGAGGAGGAAGAAGAAAAAGGTAAAGATAAAAATTATGAATAACAAAGAGACAACAAACACATATCTATGAACAAGTAAATCTAAAAATCGAGTGAATAAAAAAATCGGATGAACAGAGTAAACTGGTGAATATAATAGAATTAGGGGCATAGAAAGGGAGTGGACTGACAATTCTCAGGGGGAAGGGGGTGTGGGGGGTTCGGGAAGAGACTGGACAAAAATCAAACACCTATGGATGAGGACAATGGGGGGGGGGGTAAGGGCATGGAGTGGGATGGGAACCGGGTGGAGGGGAGCTATGGGGAGAAAAAGAGGAACAACTGTAATAATCTGAACAATAAAGACTTATTTAAAAAAAATGTGATACCCCATCACAATATCTTATTCCCATGATGTGCCATCAATACTCAAAATCAGGGCAGTCTGCCCTAACCGGTTTGGCTCAGTGGATAGAGCGTCATCCTGAGGACTGAAGGGTCCCAGGTTCGATTCCGGTCAAGGGCGTGTACCTTGGTTGCGGCCACATTCCCAGTGGGGAGTGTGCAGGAGGCAGCTGATCGATGTTTCTCTCTCATCGATGTTTCTAACTATCCCTCTCCCTACCTCTCTGTAAAAAATCAATAAAATATATATTAAAAAAAAATCAGGGCAGCCTAACCCTCCTTAGTACTGGAGCCCGAGCCACTCAGTTTTTCTTCTGCAGTTAGCCTGTACGGCTTGGTCAGTTTCTAGGGCTATTTCACTGCTCCATCCATTCCTTCTCCTTTCTTGTTGGGACTCATACTCTTCTATCATTAGATACATTCACTACAGCATGACCCATCATGGGCCACCAACAATATATAGAGCAAAAGCTTCAATATGAAAATTAGCCATAAATCTTAGATCAAAATATGGATTAGGATAAGTAATAGATATGAGAAAAATTCTGGAAGTACAGTGGGACCTTGACTTATGAGTGTCCTGACTAACGAGTTTTTCGAGATACGAGCCATCTCTCGGCCGATTTTTTGCTTTGAGTTGCGAGCTAAAATTGGGGTTACGAGCCAGCTTCAGATACCCCACCGTTAGTTGGTGCAGCGAACGTCACAGTGAACACCACAACATCAGCCCAGAATCACGTGTCTCACTCGTTCACTTTTGATTTGACATACAAGTAATTTGAGTTACAAGCTCCGTCACGGAACGAATTAAACTCGTAAGTCAAGGCCCCACTGTATACAAAAAGACAATTGCACTTCAAAAGACAAAGTCCATTATTTTGCTTTTATTATCATTCTGAAAATGGGGCTCAAGTTATAGACTTAAAACCAAAATAGAGCCCTAGCTGGTTTGGCTCAGTGGCTAGAGCATCGGCTTGTTGACTGAAGGGTCCTGGGTTCGATTCTGGTCAAGGGCACATGCCCGGGTTGTGGGCTCAATCCCCAGTGTGGGACGTGCAGGAGGCAGCCGATCCATGATTCTCGCTCATCATGGATGTTTCTATCTCTCTCTCCCTCTTCCTCTCTCTGCAATCAGTAAAAATATATTTTAAAAAAACAACAAAATAGACCTTGAGAATGTGCTAAATAGATAGATTTGAAATAAGGTAATCAAGTTAAGAAAAACCAAGAACCAGGAACTGCATTTCCTTAGCTATAAGTCAGAGATAGCTTTGTGAAAATAAAAATTACTGCGTTTTTAAAACCCAGCAGTTATATTTTGTCTATATCAGGGCTCAGCAAATTTTCTCTATAAAGAGCAGGGTAGATAATAGGTATTTTAGATTTTGTGTGCCATAAGGTCTCTGTCACAACTACTCAAATCTGCCCTTGTAGTTTGAAAGCAGCCATAGATAATAAGAAAGCAAATAGGCATGGCTATGTTCCAATAAAAATTTATTTACAAATATAGGTGGCAGCCAGACATGGCTCACAGGTTGTGTAGTTTGCCCCCCCCCCCCCCGGGGTCTGGTCCCCACAGAAAAATGACAATCACTTAAACAAATGAGTATCTCAGAAACTTACTGCTTAATTTTGTCATTTCTAGGTCCAAATCTTGGTCCAGATGGTCCCCTTCTGAAAACAAAATACCGAGTGCATATATTTAATGAGAGCATTAAAAACCAAGGACAAAACAGAAAACACACAAAATCAAACTAAATCCTAAACATGGTCATTCACCATAAGGAATCACAGTTTACTGGTACTGTTGGAACTGAATGATATGTAATCATGTCTGTCCTTCATTGGTACTTAATGCTGGCCACAATTAACCTAATTCTTCTGAATATTATAACTTTTAGGGAAATTTGGGTTTATATAACCCTTACACACAGGATGCTCTATGATTAAACTTTGAAATACCATAACAACTACAATGCCAGTGAGTATGAATAGCTTTATGATCAATTATAGAAAACTAAAAGTACAATCACCTTGAATTTCAGCCATAATGAAATGCTGATTATCAGGGATGGATACAGAGAACAATCCATTTAAAACGATACAAATTTTTAAGTATGTTTTTTGATTCCTCATCTTAAACTTAACAACATGGCTAAAGGGAAATTTTGCAGAACTCTATGAAAATATCAACATTTCTCAAATCATTCTCTATTATAGTAAAATGCTGTATCATTTTAATTAACCCCTTTTAAAATTCCGGAAATAAAAAAACCTTTTAGATATTTTAAGTAATGATTCTTCTTCTGATGATTGAGAATAAGATGTAAACTACAAAACTAAAAAGAAAATAGATTCTGTACTAATTAAACACTAATCCCCAAGTCCCCACTCCTCCCAGCCCCTGGCAGCCTCTGTTCTACTTTGTTCTCTATAAATTCGACCTCTCTAGGCACATAATATAAGTGGAATCATGTAAAATTTATCCTTTCATGACCAGCTTCTTTCCTTTAGCGTAATATCTTCAAGGTTCATCCATGTTGTAGCGTGTGCCAAAATGTCCTTCCTTCTTAAGACTAAAAGTCCACTATATGTGTATCACATTTTGTTTATCTCTCCATCCACTGATGGACACTTTGTTTGCTTCCAACTTTTAGCTATTGTGAATATTGCTGCTATAAACATGGGTGTTGATTAATTCTTAAAAATTATTTCAAGAACTTTATTTGGTGTGTCTCCCTTCCAACGCACAGACAAAACCACAGGGTACGGGAGTTGAATTGTGGACAAGTGTGCTAGTTTTGCTGTCCAGCCCTTTGGAAGACGCACAGCATGACCTGGGAGTGGACCTTCAGTAGTAAATCATTGCCTGAAGAGTTCGTGTTTTCCACAAGGGTGTCTGAACTTCATTCAGGTAATCACTTATTTAACCAAAGCGTCTGGCCTTCTTTCCAATACTGAGTTCTTTTTTGACAGGTAGCTATTGCTGTAGACTAAGGCTCCTTACCATAGTCAGCACGACCAGCAGTTAGCTTTGTGACTCTATGGAAATCTTGTCACCTGTAGGAAATTATCTTCCCACTTCATCTGCCCTTCATGCAACAAATGATACTATTTCCTGTAATTGGATTTGTTTTATATCCTGTAGGCTCTTTCTGTTCAGTGCTCATGGTTGTCAATTACTTTTTATAAAATGTTTTTATTTTGGGGGCGGGAAAAACCTCTACAAAAAACTTCACAACATTTTAACAAAGAGGGAGACCGATGGTTCCTCTCAAGATTATCTCTACATTAATCTCCAGAGGAAACTACAACAGTATGTCCTCCTTCCCGACTCTGCACATATAAACACAGGCCCATATGAGAGCCCTTTCTAAACATAACTCCAAAGGATCGATCGGGTCAATTAGTTCTGACAAATTATTAAGGTAATTCAATGGGGAAAGAATAACCTTTTCATCAAATGGTGGTGGCACAATTAGACAGACATATGCCAAAAGAATAAAAAAATTATCCTTTACTTAATTAACTCAACCATATGTAACAGTTAATTTAAAGTATATTATAGACCAGAATGTAAAAGCCAAAACTATAAAACTCCTAAGGAAAAAATAGAAGAAAATCTCAGTGAGATTGGCAAAGATTTCTTAAATAAGCAAAAGTAGTTTTAAAAAAATTAATAAACTTATTTCATCAGAATCAAAACTTTGATCTTCAAAAGATACTGTTGTGGAAATGAAAAGATTTCATTGCAAATTGGGAGAAAATATTTGTACAACATATCTGATAAGGAACTTTTTTCTTGAAAAGCTCTTGTATAGAAAGCTCTTACTAGGAAGACAAATTTAAAATTGAGCAAAAGATTTTAACATGTACTTTTTAAATAAAGATATGAGGATGCCCAGCCGGTATGGCTCAGATTGTCATCCTGTGCACCAAGTGGTCACCGGTTCGATTCCCAGTCTGGACACATGCCCCGGTTCAGGCTGGATCCCCAGTAGGGGGCATGCAGGAGGCAGTCAATCAGTGTTTTTTTCTCTCTCTCTCCCTCTCTAAAAAATCAATAAAAACACATTTAAAAGATAAAGGTATGAGGATGAAAAATATGCACATAAAAGATGTTCAACCTAATTTTTTATTAGGGAAATGTGAATTAAAATGTAATGAGATACCACTACACACCCACAAGAATGGCTAAAATGAAAGACTGACCATATGGAGTGCTGATGAGAATTTGGAGCAATTAGAACTCTCATGCAATGCTGACGGGAATATAAAATGGGACACCACTTTGGAAAACAGCTGTACATATACAACAGCCATTCTATTCCTAAGTATTTACCCAAGAGAATGAAAGCAGATGTTCACACAAAACAATCTGTATGAAAATGTTTACAGTTGCCTTATTTATAATAGCTGAAAAGTACAACTACTCCAAATAGCCATCTTAAGTGAATGAATGAACTGCAGAATATTCATATAATGGAATACTACTCAGAAATAAAAAGAAACAAACCTGATATATGTGACAGCATGGATGTATCTCAAAATAGTTATGCAGAGTGAATGAAGTCAATAAAAAAAGAGGCATAAGGTATGGTTCCACTTATAATAAAAAAAATTCTAGAAAATACAAACTATAGAAATAGAAAGCAGATCGGTGATTGCCTAGAGATTGGGAGAATGAGAGATAACCAAGAGGTCCACGGAAACTTTGAACATAATGGCGCTGTTTATTATTTGATTTTGGTCATAATTTCATATGTGTACAGTACATATGTCAAAACTCATAGTGTATACATTATATGTCAATTACATTCCAATAAAGCTGTTAAAAACTTACAGAAAAAAGTCCTCTTCTTCATCTGAATCATCTTCCAAAAGATTTCTCTGTAAAAAAAAAAAAAGAGAGAGAGAGTGAGAGAGAGGGAGAAAATGACTTGAGTTTTCAGATTTCAGGGCTTACACACTATCAGGAGTAATAAAACGAGTTCTGTCCTGGTGGAGTTTCTGAACTCCAAGCTTCCAGGGGGAAAAGTAATTGCATGGCCTTCAATGGAAGCTGAAAGATACAGAACCACGTTGGCAGACTTTTGAAAGAAAATGCTTCTAATGGTGGAATCCTATGATTGACCACGAGGCAGAAAGGGCACTGAGCCGGTGTGGAGTAAGGAACGGAGGGCAGTTGGGAGGAGCAAGTCCCTTCTCCTTCTCCGGCCTTCCTCTAGTCAGCTGTCATTCAACAGAGATGTTTGAGCATCTATGTGCTGGGCACTGTTCTAAGGACCAAGCACCAGCTTTGAGTAACACAGACAAGGTTTGAGCTCTCATAGAAAAATATCTGATGGTGATAAATGCTATGCAGAGAATTAAAGCAGTGATGGGACAGACAGAGACAGGGGGATTGAATGAGATTAGGCTGTCCAGGAAAATCACTCTCCAGGGGTGAAATTTAAGCTGAGATCCAAACGGTAACAAAGAGCCAACCAAAGATCAGGGTGAAGAGCATTCATGGCCAGCAGAGGGACCAGCTAGTGCAGAAAAAGCCCCAATGAATTAAAGTGAATGGTTTGGCCGAAACCGGTTTGGCTCAGTGGATAGAGCGTCGGCCTGCGGACTGAAAGGTCCCAGGTTCGATTCCGGTCGAGGGCATGTACCTGGGTTGCGGGCACATCCCCAGTGGGAGATGTGCAGGAGGCAGCTGGTCGATGTTCCTCTCTCATCGATGTTTCTAACTCTCTATCTCTCTCTCCCTTCCTCTCTGTAGAAAATCAATAAAATATATTTAAAAAAAAAAAATAAAAAAAAAAATAAAAAAAAAATTAAAAAAAAAAAATAAAGTGAATGGTTTGACTTCTTAAAAAAAAGAATATACATGATTAGAGTTCAACATTTTTCCAGCCAACATCTGTTTACAAGATCAGTAATGGAAGGAGAATTCAGTTAAGTCACCAATTTAAGTAACGTATACTACTTTTTAACGTTTACTATGACGAACAAAGGGATTAGAATATAGCCATAAACTTTAGTTTTCTAAAACAAAGTACTTATAAAAGGAATGAAGACATTTTTAGTCTTTCTTTTTTAAAAGCTTAAGATTCTGAACTTACCCTTTCACTTTTCACAGAACCAGTGACATCATCATCGTTTAGGTGGCGCTTGAACTTGGGAGGCATATTTTTCTTTTTACGCTAGAAGTACTCTTCTACTTCCCAGCAGAGTAAGTACTCACCACCTTAAAGAAAAAATAGGTTTCACTGGATTTGAGACTTCTGGGTGTCAGGTAAAGAAAGTACTTACAGCAGAGGCCAAGGCCTTATTGTGAAGGGGCCTCCTTCACTTCTCTGGCTTCAACTACTCCCTTCTCACTTGCTCCTTTCCAGGGACCTCCCTGCTGGGCCTCAACATATAAGAAATAGTAAAAATCAGGAAAAAAATGGATGTAATTTTCTTAGGAGAACACGTGGAGGAAATGAGTGACAAAATGTTTATAAAATGAAAAAGCAGAAGGTACATGAAGGAAATGCATAGGTGCTTCCCTGAAAGTGAGACATCGACTGCTTTAGGATTTTCACTTGGAGTGAGCAGTCAGCGGACACTTCCGGTGCTCACTTTAGGTTAGTTGTTTGAACAAAGATTCAGCTCTCTCATGTGTGAAACAGTACTTTCTAGGCTTCTGCATGGAATTGGGAGGCGTCTGCTCAGACACTACATGCAAAAGCATTCTGTAAACCCTAACATCCTGTTCTGAAGCATAGCACTGGGTGTTCCAGGAAAAGGGATGTTTGGTAAGAAATTCTTCTTTTCCCACAGAAAGTCTCACTTCCTTTTACATGCTAATATGCATTGTTCCAGAAACATGCTTGAGTCTGCAACATACTCAAAATTTTCTCCAGAAAAAGCTGACATATGCAGGTATGAGTTTTCAGATTCTTGGACTAGAAGATGGATGAAAGATGAGACCAGCTAAGGAGTGCCCAAAGTTTTACTGCGAGCTGGGCACTCTGCTCAGGGATTTATGTGCATTTCCTGTTACTCTTAGGCACTAGAAAACGACAGGAAAGCTAAGGCTTAGTAAAGATAAGTAATGAATAGTGTTAGCCACTCTGCTCATTGAAATAGCAGAAGCAAAGGCCCCAATTAATCCGTGGCTGTGCATGATCAGTTGTGATATTTACTCAGTTAGTGGCCCAGCAGGTTACACAGTTGTGTCCTAGAAAGACCACTTCTTCCCTATAACCATCCAGCAGCCCTCTTTCCCCTTCCACAAGAAGAATCTGAAGATCTTCAAATTAACTATAGCTAGACATCAGTTAGTTGGTTAATGTTATAATGCAAAAAAAATAAGCCCACAGTCCAGTTTCATAAATGAAATAGAAGTAAGATCTGAAGCTGGCTTCCTGTCAAAACAAATTGGTAAGAAAGTTTTCTTTAATAAGAAATGCTCCAGAACCTGAAACTTAACCACGTGTTAAGAAAAAACACACAAGTTCTTGCCACCTGAGTAAACAACTCTAGAGTTCATTCAACAATATTTCTGTCCCTTACATCTGGCCTTGATTTCAGAGTAATTCATTCATGCAGAAATGTTACAGAATGCATGAAAAAAAAAACACACCAAAACGCCCACAAATGACAAAGGAAGCAATTGAAGGACCGAGCTTCTCATTACACCTGTTTGCATGGTAAACCCCACAAAGAGGCTACCTCAACCTCTCGCAGCACCTAACAGGCAGATTTACATAACATCTTTATGAAATACACGGTGAAGCTACAAGCTTAATGGTGAGCAAGACCCATCTTCAGGTCCCATAATCCAAGGATCAGCCTCAGGAAGGCAAGAAACCAGCGTCTGACCAACAAAAAAAGCCATCAGCAAAGCAGCAGGCAGATGAACTAACTACGCATCATGAACCACCGGGCAACGGATGATATCTGTACCAAACAACTCACAGAAAAAAACCTAAAGACTTATACTCTACTAAGAAGATTTCTGAAAAAACAAAACAAAAACTCACGTATGCATTCAGGTGCTTGTGTCTAGATATATATGTAAACAGGAGTCTTCGTCATGTAATTCAGCATGGAGGGCAGAATAGCCACGCACAATTCACCTAAAAAATGCCACCACCGTCTGCTTCCTCTGCCGTCCTCCCACGTTTACAGTGTCACGTGTGTATTTTTGGAAGAGGCAGTGCGTTCTCTTTTCGGGGGCTTTACACATAACACGGTTCTAGCCTGTTGTTTGATAAACGTTGGCAGAAACCAACTGGCAACCTTGTCATTTCGCACCAGGCTCGCTGGCGGGCCGAGGGCGCCCCCGTCCCCGCCTCCACTCCGGGTCTGACTCCCCTTCCCCGTCTCTCGCCCGCAGGCGAGGTCGCGGCTGCAGTTTCCGGGAAACCGGCGACGGGAACTGCACGCAGCCCGGAGTCGCCGCTATTCACGGAAGCTGTCAGCGCCGTGACCGCCCGCCCGCACCTGCCAGGCTCACGCCCGGAGCCCTTTAAATCCCCACCGAGCCCGGCCCTCCAGCCACAGGCTCCTCCCCCGCCCCATCTGTAGCACCAGGTCTGCTCCAAACTCCGGTCCCTTCGGCCCCGCGACACCCACTCCCTCCCGGCTCCTCCCCCCGGGGGCACACCGCCCCATCGCCCTTCCTCACGGCACCCCGGTCCACCCGCCGCCTGCTCCCGCTCCGGGCCCCCTCCCGGGCCCCCAGGCCCGACGCGGACGATGCGGGACTGGGGCGTCGTCTCGGTTTTCTTCCGCCTCCCTCCTCCCACCTCGCCCTCCGCCCCCCACCTCTCGGAGACCAGGCGGGCGCCCGTACCTGAGTCTCCCCGGGAGGTCTCGGGCGGCTGCGGGAAGGAGCGGGGAGCCGAGGAAAGAAGGCGGGGAGCGGAGGCAGTGGACGCCCAGTCGGCGTCCGCGCGCTCCGCCGCAGCTGCGCCCCCCCTTATCGAGCTCATCCGCGCTCCGCGGCCTGGCGCCAGGCGGGGGGCGGGGGGCGTGGGGCGGGGCCAGGCCAAGGCGATCGCCGAAGGAGTCGATTCGGCCCTTCCTCTCTCTACCCAGGAAGGGAGGATCCGGCAGGTGCTGAGTCCGATCCGGATCTCTAGGGTTACAAGGCGCTTTAAGGGAGGAATAACTGGTTCCCGAGGTTCCATTCCGACCCGGCGTGGTGTTGGGGGGAGGCGGAGGCAGTCGGGGTGGGGCTGATGAGACCTTTAGAAGGAAGCCGAGGAGAAAAGGAGGGTGGACCTTCACGTGCATCCTTTAGAGTTCTGACCTAAAATAACCAGGTTCAGGCATAGGCAGACACAGGAGCCCTCGGGCTGCAGGAGGGAAATCACCCTTGCAAAGCCATTCCACTTATTCCCTCCTCCCAGACCTCCACCCTCCAAGTTAGTAGCATCCTAAACCTGCAGTAGCTGGGCATAGGAATCCAAAATTTGTTTCGTTTATTCATTCCCCCCACACCCCCCAGCTGGATTGTTTACACCTTCTTCCCCCACCCCATCATTTGTTTGCTACACGTCTTTTTTACTTAGTACCTATGGGTCCTCTATTTGTTGGTAAGTGTTTTAACTTGGTGCATATTTAAATCAAACACACTGTAACTAATTGAAAGATAGCTTGGCTAGGGCACTCTCAAGTTAATTTTGTAGAGTTGAATCACCTGAGAAGCTTTAAAAATGACTGATACCCAAGCACAATTCTGAAATTCTGATTTAACTGGCGTGGGCTATGAATTGAAGCTTCTGAAAGCCTGGGTGTAGATTCACAATCGACTACTACTCAGGCTCAGACTGACTTGGATTGAAAGGGTCCACCTAGAAGGGAAACTTCCTATAGTTTTTCTGCCTGAGCTTGATGGTGAGACTACCCCAGACATCAGAAGTGTTTGCTTTTTCATCTACAGTTGATTTTATATCTGTATATCTGCTTGTTATGGGGTGCTTCCCTGTTTTGGTAGCCAATTAGAGTTTTCGCCAATTACGGCCTCCATCCTTCTTACAAGACAACTGAAGGCAATATGATTATTGAGCTGTATTGGCATGCCATTGAAGAGCTGTGAATAAACTATTTTTTTTAAAAACCGTAATTCTTTAGTTTTGCCAACCATTTTGGTATAATTAGTTAGAGGAAGGGTAATGTAAGCCTCACTCTTTTAATCACCTGAACAAAGCCCCTCTGACTATGCCCAACATTTCTGAAAGCTTAGAAAATGTCATTTTACAGTTAATTTAAATCAGACACAGAAGTAAGCCTGGAAGAAGATAAACAACACTGGACTTACGAGTCAGAATGGGCCCGGCTGGTGTGGCTCAGTGGTTGAGTGCCAACCTATGAACTAGGAGGTCATGGTTCCATTCCTGGTCAGGGCACATCGCTGGGTCCTGGGCTGGATCCCCAGTGGGGAGTGGGCAGGAGGAAGCTGATCAGATTCTCTCTCATCACTGATGTTTCTACCTCTCCCTCTTCTATCCTCTCTGAAACACACACACACACACACACACACACAGAGTCAGAACGGGGTTCCGGTCTCACCGACTTGAATTATTTGTTCTTGGAGGACAGCAAGCACTGTTTACCATATTTATATCCCCAGATTCTAACAGAATACCTGTCATATATCGGATAGATCAATTTATTCACTTTGATATATTACCATTTTCAGCAAGAAATTGAAGTTGTACTGAGGGTGGAGCACCTACATAATTTTTGTTTATTAAATGCTGTTTTAAACTTTTTTGGTGGCAGAAAATATTGTATTATGGGCTGAGTGTAGAGAACATCCCATCAAATGGGATGTTTAGGATGTTTGTGGTAGATGTGCCAAGTGCTAGAGTTTAGGAGAAAAACAACTTGTTTTCCAGGCTTTTTCCCCTTTTCCTACAATGGAATGGAAGTTTATCATGAAATGATGGCGAAAACACTGTAATCTTTCCCAGTATCCAGTCAGGATCCAAAAGGAGGCTTTGTGACAGGCCTCACGTAGAGGGCCGATGCACTAGGCACAGGCCATGGCCGTTGGCAACATTCCCTCGTCTTTCCTGGCTTTTTAATTTCAGTTATTGCCCCGTGGTCCCAAAGGCTATGCCCTTCGTTTTCCCTATAAAAGTGAATTAACTGCCTACCAGTCCATGCGTTCTCAGGAAACTGGTGTGCCTGCAGATGTCCACGTGACAGAGAAGGAAACTACTCAACGCAGAGAATCCTGGGAATCAAATCTCATACTTAGAGGTCTGGCTGGATTTACTGTCACATAACTTTTTACTTCTTTTTTATGAATTGGAGCTTTACCCCAATTATGAGTGCTCAGTTCCTATGTGGCTCATGGTAAGAACTGGTGACGAAGCGAACACAGGGCGCCGGAAACCTGCCCTCTCTCGGGGTTCGGACCCCCGCCTGGGTTCCAGGGAACTGGCCACTTCCGCCCCCATCCCCGGGCCCGCCTACTTCCGCCTCACATAAACAAACGCTCGGCGCCTGCGTGAGGCGAGCCCATCGCAGCCAATGAGGTGCCAGGAACAAAAATCAGTGACCAATGAGATCCTGGGAGGTCTGGGCGGTCGACCAATTGCGAGGCCTCGCACCCGGATATGATTGCGGGTTCTGAAATCAAGCTCTGAGAAGGAGAGGCGCTCCGCATGTGGCAGGGGCTGTGAGCTCGGAGTCCTGGGCGAGCGCGTGCGGTTCAGTGTCTCGCGCGTGCGGTTCACATGTAAGGGTCCTTCCTTTGGGTTTTGAATGGGGAAGAAATCAACGTGGCTGCTTGTCTGTCCCGGAGCGGAGCCAGCGTGGGGGAAAGCCCCTCCGTCGGTACCTCCCTTACACCGAGTGGGACAGTCTGGAAGACGCAGCTGCGGTGTGGAAGTATGAACCTCTTACCTAAGAGCTCCAAGGAGTTTGGCTCCGTTGACTATTGGGAGAAGTTCTTCCAGCAGCGCGGAAAGAAAGCTTTCGAGTGGTATGGAACTTACCTGGAACTGTGCGGGGTGCTGCACAAATACATGAAGCCCCGGGAAAAGGTAAGCGCCGCCTGGCAGCTGGGGGAGAGAGGAGAGAGAGAGAGAGAGAGAGAGAGAGAGAGAGAGAGAGAGAGAGAGGGAGAATGAATATGAATGAGAATGAATGTGTATGTGCGTGTGTGTTCGTTCGGGAAGGTGGGAACTGCCTTCCAGGTTATCCTGCACACGGTAAACAGGGACAGGCGCGGGGGCCCTAATTGGGCCCATAATTTCAGGATTTCATGCATCATTCTGGCTGAAAGGCAGTTAAAAATATTCTTTTAAAGGTTTGAGATAAAAGACTTCCCGCCCCAGCTCATTTTTCGATGAATAACCCCACTGGAAGAGTCACTTCTTTTAGTAACTCAACCCAGATGTGGCCTCCTGGAGAATAAATGTGCGTTTCTGTCACAGCATCTTTGTGGAGAAGGCACTAGCCCTGTTTCACTGATACACAAATCTGTTATCCAGTAATTGTAGCGGGGCCCACTGAATTTCAGGCAGCGTGCTCAGCCCTTAAGCTACCAGAGCATTAAGATAGAATGCCCTGGGCACAATCCCGAAAAGAAAAGTGGTAAGGACAGTAATAGGAGTTTTGACAGAGGCGGGCTTGTACTGACTGGAGGTAGGGAAGGGAGGAGGGTAGAGAGCTTTAAGGAAGTTTTAAGCACCAAGCCTTGTGGTGTGTGTGTGTGTGTGTGTGTGTGTGTGTGTGTGTTTGATAGTTGAATTCTCCTAATAAACTCTGTGAGGTGAGTGGTGTACACACATTATACAGATAGATAAATGAGGCTCTGAAATCCTAAGATCTTACATGTAGTAAGTGGCCACATGGAAATTTAAACTCTGGCCCATCAAGCTCCAAAATTTAGGCACTTCTCATTGTGTATTCCATGCTTTTCCAGAGATGGTGACATCAGGGCAGAATTTTGAAGGATTGATGGGAGGTTGCTGCACAGAGCAGGAAGCAACAACTTGTGTATTTAAGTTCAGCTTCAGAAAATACCAGGATATCATGAGGAGGAGCCAAAAGCATGAGTGGAATAGGATGATGCCAGAACGAGGTTTTCAACAGCAAAACAGATAGGAGATTTCAATTGTAACTAATTACAGTGGGGACTTGACTTACGAGTTTAATTCGTTCGGAGACCAAGCTCGTTAACTCAAATTACTCTATCAACTCAATGCAAAAAATCGGCTGAGAGACGGCTGGTATCTCAAAAAACTCGTTAGTCGGGACACTCGTAAGTCAAGGCCCCACTGTACTGCATTTGGATTCTGTGACTTCCTACCAGTTCTTGAGTAAAAAATGCCTGATTCAGAGAAAAGCACAACCATGATTAGCTTGTTTCTGTAATACGGAAAGCCCATTTTCACATAACCTGCATGGCTGTCACTGAATGTGATTTTCACTAGTGAGTCCTCTAACCAGAGGTGTTTTAAGACGGAGCCTAGAACCAGCTCTGTAACGGTGCTCTCTTCTGTGACAACAGCATCTTCCCCCTCTGAAAACATGCAGCGGCCAAGGTGAGACTTGATTCCTCAACACATGCGAAGCTCATTCCTTTGCCTTAGTCACCTCCATCCTCTCGGTTCCCCCCCAGGTGCTGGTGATCGGGTGTGGTAACTCAGAGCTCAGCGAGCAGCTGTACGATGTGGGCTATCAGGATATTGTGAACATTGACATCAGCGAGGTTGTCATCAAGCAAATGAAGGAACGCAATGCCAACCGACGGCCCCAGATGAGCTTCTTGAAGATGGACATGACACAGATGGAGTTTCCTGATGCCTCTTTCCAGGTGGTGCTGGACAAGGGCACGCTGGATGCTGTCCTGACAGATGAGGAGGAGAAGACCCTGCAACAGGTGGACAGGATGCTGGCTGAGGTTGGCCGTGTCCTGCAGGTGGGCGGTCGCTACCTCTGCATCTCCCTGGCTCAGGCTCACGTCCTGAAGAAAGCAGTGGGTCACTTCTCCAGGGAGGGGTGGATGGTCAGGGTGCATCAGGTGGCCAGCAGCCAGGACCAGGTGTTGGAAGCAGAGCCTCGGTTTCCCCTGCCTGTCTTTGCCTTCATCATGACCAAGTTCAGGCCAATCCCTGGCTCTGCCCTTCAGATCCTCGAGCTGTGTGCTCAGGAGCAGGGCAAGCCTGTGCGGCTGGAGAGTGCCGAGCGGCTGGCCGAGGCGGTGCGGGAGCGTCAGCAGTATGCCTGGCTGTGTAGCCAGCTGTACCGCAAGGCCGGGCTGGGGAGTGTGTCCCTGGACTTGTGCAATGGGGACACGGGGGAGCCACGCTACACCCTCCACGTGGTGGACAGCCCCGCTGTGAAACCATCGCGGGACAATCATTTTGCCATTTTCATCAGTGAGTTGGGATTGGTCCTTCTCTTCCCTGGAAGGGCTGGGCTGGGGCGTTGGTGGATGGGTATGCCTTGGCTGGTTTCATTTTGCAGGGATGGTCCTTTCAGAGGTTAGACTAGCCAAGGCATGAGGAAGAAACAATAGCAGCTCTCCAGCTACCTTAGATTTGAAGCTTATTTCTTCTCATCTTCCATCGCAAAGCCTTGGTGAAGTGGGAGAATGGGGTTGGTAGGAAGGAGAGAAGTAATACAGATGCATCTAGGCAAGTCACACACTGTAGAGATGGTAGTTACTTTGTAATGTCGAGTGGTGGGAGCTGTCCAGTCTCAGGTCTGTAGCCTTTAAGCTGTGGGACCTGGGGAAATTGCCATGTTTCTCTGCTGAATTAGACAGTACAGAGCAGTGGCTAAAAAAGGTCAGCTCTGGAACCAGGTGATTTGGGTTCCAATTCTGTCCCAGTCACATCTTGGTGATGTGACATTGGACATGTTATTTGTTTTCTGAGACTCAGTTTCCTCATTCATAAGTGACATCATAACTACCTTGTGTAGTTGTGAGAAGTGTCAAAGCTCTTAGGAAGGTGCCTGGCACATGATAGCTGCTCTGTGGACACTAGTGTTATTATTGAAAGGGGTAAATGATACCAGATTTACTAGTACATTAATAATGATTAAAAAGAATATGAGAGAATGCTTTCAAAAATAGAATATTTTAGATAAATGCAAGGTGTCGATATGGTCATGCTGGCCACTTGTTTCCAGATGACTACGCCATTTTTCCAAGTATTCCATCATCCTACCTGCACCTGTGGGAGCAAACATGTGCCCTGGATGTGAGCATGGAGTCTGGGGCTGGGCTGCCTGGGTTTGAGTTCCAGCTTTGCCATTTATTAGCTCTGTGACCTTGGGCAAATAATGAAACGTCTGTCTCAGTTTCCTCATTTATACAATGGGACTAATAATACCACCTGCATCCCGGGCTATTGTGAAGATTCTATGTATTTCTATTTGTTAACTGCTGGGAATAATGCCTGGTATGTAATAAGTGTTGGTAGTATTGCTATTTTTCCCTTGCACGCGTGCTCACACTTCTTATTCCCCCTTGGTCCTGCCTCATGTCCGATGGCAGCTTTGCTCTGGGCCTTGTGCTCCAGGGACTCATAGCCCCCCAGTGGGTCACAGTTGGAAGGGATTCTGGGCCTGGGCAGGGCCTGGCTCTCTGCCATGTGGTCATATCGGTAGTGGGCTTGCACACTCTTCCCGGGACTCCCTGTCACCAGGCGCCTGTTTCCAGTCCCCCAGGGTCGGGAGACCGAGTGGCTCTTTGGCATGGAGGAGGGCCGGAAGCAGCTGGCGGCCAGCGCTGGCTTCAGGAGGCTGATCACAGTGGCCCTGCACCGAGGTCAGCAGTACGAAGGCATGGACAGCATCCAGGCCGAGCTATCGGCCAGAGTCATGGAGTTGGCCCCGGCCGGGATGCCCGCCCAGCAGCAGGTAAGGAAGCTCGGGCAGCAGCTTTCACAGGTCTCTGGAGAAGTCACACTAGCAGCCGGGAAGGCAGAGGGTGTCCTGAAAGAAGCTAGGGCAGGGTCTGTGACCGTAGTCGGCTCCTGGAGGCCATGTCAGCAGCTAAGAGCTGAGTGGGCATCAGTCACATTCCTTTGCCCCAGGCAGTGTGAGGAAGGCCAGCGGTTGCCAATATTGAGACCCACAGGCACATCTGGGTCTGGGGTTGGGGGGTCCTCGGACCCACAGAGATGGCACGAAGGAGATGCTCCAGCTCTTGCAGGCTCCAGCTCTTCCTTCTGTGAATGACTTGGACTGTGTGTCTATTTCCTCACTTGTGCACAAGACTCTCTTGACCCTTTTGCTGCTTTTTTAAAAAATCTTTATTGTTGAAAGTATTAAATATGTTCCCTTTATTCCCCCATTGACTCCTTCTAGCCCACCCTGCCCCTTTTGCTTCTTAGAGCCATCATTATCGGAGGGTAAATGGATACTTTCAGGATATGAGCATTGCCGGTCTGGTGTTTTACTGGGAAGGAAACTGGAGGTTTTTTGCCAAAGTGGTGATATGGAATTACCAGTTGACATGGTCTGTCTGATGCCATCCTGGTCCCAAGGCAGGGTAATGGGCAGGTGACTTTATCCTTCTTGACAGAGGGGAAAGCCAAGGTACCTGGAGGCTGGGTGCTGTAGTAACAGATCTGAAAAAAAGTGTAGGCTCCCGATTCCCAGCCTGGGTTCTGCCCACGAGGCTGACCTGTGCTTACGGAGGAATGTATTGAGTCTTCCTGGTAGACTTGGTCGGTGCCCATCAGAGAGACCCAGCTCCTGGGGGAGGTTCTTTGTGACCTTCTCTCACCAGTGCCCATGTCTCTGCAAAGTCAGGAATCCCTGGTGATTATCACATATTCATGTAGGTCTTTGAAAAGCAATAGATGTAAAGACTGGGAAAGGAAAGAGAACAGTTTAGGGGAGAAATGTATTTTTCTCCTAATTTTTTTCTCCTGTTTAGAATAATGGGAGAAAAGGATGAGAATGGCTAAGGGAAGGGAGACGTCTCTGCACGTGTGGAGTGGGTGCTTTCCCCTGGATTTCGTTATCTCATCCCCGTTCATATTCTTTCTCTCATAATTACAGTCTCTTCCCAAGGGTTCTCTCTGGCTTCGATTGTCCTGGATCGTTGAAAGTGCTTTAGAGGATTACTCTTGAGAAACTCCTATTTTTCTTGGGGGAGAACCAACTGCATTTTATAATGGTTTTTGGGGGAATCAGTTAGTTTTCAGAAAGGTAAATTAAGCCTTAATGAGATCAAGTCAAAGGCCCCAGAGAGGAACTGGAACAGAAAGGCACACCTGCGGAGTTGTACTGCCCAGAACCAAGGCCTGGATTCCTCAGATAGACACAGGGAAGGGGTTCTACTTTCTCACGTTTCTTAGCTGAGCTGGTGGTTTGACCACATCTTTGCTGTACCTTCAGGTGCCTTTCCTGTCCGTGGGTGGGGACATCGGGGTGCGGACCATTCAGCACCAAGACCGCAGCCCCTTGAGTGGCGACTACGTCATCGAGGATGTGCAGGGGGATGACAAGTGCTACTTCCGGCGGCTCATCTTTCTCAGCAACAGGAACGTGGTGCAGTCAGAAGCCAGATTGCTGAAGGCTGTGTCTCACAAAGGTGAGGTGTCAGCGGCACGTTGGTGGGACCCACATGGACACGGCATGGACTCTTGATTTTGGGGGTCAGAAGGACCTGGGAGCATGGCCGAGATGTAGGACAGACCTGGGTACCTGTGACCGGAGGCACATGGCCAAGTGGGTTGTCCTCTTAGACCACTTGGGCTCATAGGGTGTGAGTGGCCATAAGCGGAATAGAGGTCTGTGTTCTGTTCTTGAGCCAAGCCCGGCTGTGAAATGATAAGGAGCAGGGCTAATGGATTACCAAGTAAACATGATCATCACATTAATGCCTTTAGTTTAAAAGCCACTTGCTTTACAAGTTCCACATACGTCTGGGTACTAATTCAACAGGGCTCTGTGAGGTGAGCCATTTCTGCTGTCTGAGTGGTACAGTAGAAAGGTGATAGGCATTGGAGACAGTCCCGGGTTCAAATCCAGGTACAGTAGAAAGATGATAGGCATTGGAGACAGGCAGTCCCAGGTTCATATCCAGGCGGCACTACCTACTGATTCTGGACCTAATTATTAACTCTTCAGATTCTCATGTGTTCCATCTGCCAGTAATTGGAATTAAAGGGCTGTTATAGGAGCTAACAGAGTAAAAACCCTAGGATAGCAATTGGCATAGAGGAGGTAATTGTAAGTCCTTCCCTACAAGAATTTATGAAGATTCTGTTAGTGGCCTTATATTTCTCATAGGAGCGGTACCAGGACTCCTAAGTTGAGTTTTCCCAGGCTTTGGGGTATATCTTTACCACTTTCCTTTTCAGACTCTGACATGTAACCGTTCAAATTCCTGCACATTTAATGCTTGGGTTTGTGAGTGAGATCAAGTCAGCTGCAGCCCACTGCCCCTGGTGCTTTGCTCTCTGAGGACTAGTGGACTAAGCATAGGACTTCATTGTCTCTCTTCATTTAGCCCAGAAGAAGCGGAAAAAGGACAGGAAGAAGCAGTGGCCGGCTGGTACTCCAGAGGAGCCCCCTGCAGCCCCGGGGCAGTCCATCGATAAGAGCTACCTGTGCTGTGAACACCACAAAGCCATGATCGCCGGCCTGGCCTTGCTGAGAAACCCCGAGCTGCTCCTAGGTGAGGGGGTTGTCACTGCTTCCCACAGGGAGGAGCGTGGGAGATGACAGAGCTAATCAAAGGAGCTGCTTGTGAATAAGAGCAGTGATCACAGACCGGCAAAAGCATAAACATTCATATCTTTCTCATTCCCAACCTGCTTCTAAGTTAACGAACACCCAAATAACTTTTTCCTCACACTGAAGTTGTCATGTTGAAATGGCCATACATGTCGAAGTCTGAAGTTTTTCCCCCCACTCATTTATTTAAAAATTAAGGTGTGAAGTACATCCAGGGAGATAGGTAAAGTACACAGATCTTCAGCTGTTCAGCTTGATGAATTCTCACATATGTATATACCCACGTAACCAGATGGAGCCTCTAAAAACCATGTCTCTGGGCCCTGGCCGGTATGGCTCCGTTGGTTGAGCATTGTCCCGTGCACCGAAAGGGCACTGGTTCGATTCCTGGTTGGTCAGGGCACATACCTGGGTTGCAGGCTCAATCCCCAGTAGGAGGTGTGCAGGGGCGCAGCTGATCAATGTTTCTGTCTTACATTGATGTTTCTCTCCCCCCTCCCCTCAATAAAAACACATTTAAAAAATTAAATAAAAACCATGTCTTCAGAGAAATGCCTTTGCACTTAAGGAGAATTTCTGGCTTTTCAGTAATGCATTATATGATTCTAGCTTGAATTCCTACTTAAAAACCCATATTACAGGCAGTGCAGTCAGCCTTCTCACTAATGACAGGTTTGGATCTGACCACAGTGGTGAAAGCGGTCATATTTCTGTCTGCGTTAGAGCCATCCTCGCTCACAGTCCCTGCGTTTGTCCTTTGGCCCATTGTGGCGTTGATCTATGTGGAATCCACTGCCTTGTGACCATGAACCAGGTGTTGGCCGTTGTAGACCCCCCATTTTGTAGAGGGGTCCAATAGGCTTATGGTGGGGACTCTTGGTGACAAGTGCTTTGGGATTTTTAAGGGCCTACAATAACACACTGGTCATCTTCTGGATCTGGAAAGGGAAGGATTGTGAGGCCAGGATTGAGTTTTCAGATGTCAACTTAACTCCCAAATTTTGGGATGAGACAGGGAGGCCAGGCCCCTAAATCTGGTATCCCCTGGGCGGAGCCAACAATTTCACTCCCTCTTTTGCCGTCCTGAGGCTGGTACCAAACTTTCCAGTGAGCCGATGGTAAAATGATGCTTTCTTCCTGTATTACAGAGACCCCGCTGGCTTTGTTGGTGGTAGGCCTGGGCGGGGGCAGCCTCCCCCTCTTTGTCCACGATCATTTCCCAAAGTCCCGTATTGAGGCTGTGGAGATCGACCCGTCCATGTTGGAAGTGGCCACCCAGTGGTTTGGCTTCTCCCAGAGCGACCGGATGAAGGTCCACATTGCAGATGGCCTGGACTATATTACCAGTCTAGCGGGAAGAGAAGGTACTGCTACCGGGGAACTTGGGGGGTGTCAAGGGAAGATTGATCCAAGGTTGTCAGGCCTGTGAGGGCCTCTAGACTCCATCTCTGAGAGGGTGGCGTCAGCACCATCCTAGTCTTTTTCCTGTTGGCTTGTTGACATTTTTTTCAGTAACTGCAGAGTGCCAACCATATGCTTAGCTCTGTGCTAGGGGCTGGGGTCTAGCAAGTACTACGGACTGTTTCCTGACCTGATGGCGCTAACAGACAGTGGGCTTTTCTTTTGCCCCTGCAACATTAACACCTCCTCACCACCTTAAGAAACCTCCAGGATGTAGCTGGGTGAAGAAAGATGAAGAACAGTTGAGGGGTGTGTTGGGAGGTGTTTTTTCTAAAATCAGCTGGAAGTGAAGCCAGAAATAGAGCAAAACAGCATTCATGCCAACCACTGGTTCCAAATCTCGGACGTTTGGCAGTGTCTGCACGTGTTGTTGGTTGTCATAACCATTGGGTAGGGGTGCTTCTGGCATCTGGTGGGAGAGACCAGGGATGCTGCTGAACTTCCAACGATGCAAAGCACAGCCATCGATGACAGTGAACTGTCTGACTCCTAATGTCAGTAGTGCCGAGGCTGAAAAGCCCTGAGGCAGATGCTGCTCAGTGGGGATCCTGACAGTCTTCCAGCTGCTGGATTTAAGGTTCTGTTTATTCTAATATTTCATATCCCAGACTTAGGACAAAGGTTCTGTTCATGTTCTGCAGGAGGTCCCTTGTTCCTTCTGCAAGTTCATAGATAGGCTCCTGAAGACATGCTTTCCGGAGCCTGAGTCCCTTGAGGAAAAGTCAGGTTGGTTCAGTCCTGAGTGAACCTGGGGGACTAGGCCCACCTTTCCTGGTCTGCTCGTTCCGTAACTGATGCCTGGTTCTCATTGGACCGGAATCTCTTCCAGTAAGGGTGTGGCAAACCAGAATGACATTTGGTGCTGGGATGAGTATATTTGGTGCTGAGATGGACAGATGCTGCCTTAGTTTAACTGCAAACTGACCATATTAAGAGTTTCACAGGTTCCCTCTCTGAGGCTAGAGTCATTCTGGGGGCTCAGGCCCAAGATAGCTAATAACATGTGAAGCATTTAAAACAGTACCAGGCATGTTATAGGTCAGCCCTTAAAGGCTTAGATCCCTGCTTGTCCAGATCAATGATTCTCAGCTCTGACTGCACTGATAATTACTTGGGGAGCTGAAGAGAAATGCCAGGCCTCCCGGGAGGTTTTTAACTCAGCTGGTCAAGAAAGGAGCCCAGGTTCTGTAGGTATTTAGAAGCTTCCCATGGTGACTCGAATGTTCTGTCAGGATTGACAGCCACTGGGACAGATAGACTCTTAACCAAGTAAGTACCCTGCAGAATGGGCTCCAGAAGATGAGACCAGGCCCCGTCTTTAAGGTGGGGTTCTCACAGCAGAACCTTGGTGACGATTCCTCTGGATGGTGATGTCAGTGGCACATCCTCCCTGTTGTCCTTCTGGCTCAGCCACCTGCGCCCACTACAGGCCACAGGAGAGATGCAGTGTAGGAATGTAAATGGCCTTATTTTACCCAACAAAGACAAAAAGTTTGCTTCTCTTTCCCAGCACGGCCTCAGTACGACGTGATCATGTTTGATGTGGACAGTAAGGACCCAACACTGGGAATGAGTTGTCCACCCCCAGCATTTGTGGACCAGCCCTTCCTGCAGAAGGTCAAGAGCATCTTGACTCCTGAAGGTATGAGAACGCAAGGTCAGGAAGCGGGGATAGATGGGTCCTTCAAAAATATATTTTTTATAATGAAAAATGCACATATCATAAATGTGTAACTTGATCGATTTCCTTCCTTTGAACAACCACTTACCAGCACTGAACACAGCATTTCCCGCGCCTGAGAAGTCCACCTCTCACCTCCTCTTTGGGATAACCACTCTCCCAACTTTTACCAGCACGCCTTAGTCTTCCCCATTTTTGTTCTATATAAGTGCAATAATCATACAGATTGTAGTCTTTAAGTTTCTGTTTTCTTTCACTCAACGCGATGCTTGTGAGATTCACCCATAGTATTGCGTTTCCATTGTTCCTTTCATTGCTGTGTAGCGTCATTGTGTGGCTGTAGCGCTCAGCCTCCCCCTCTGCTCTTGGTAGTTGGGCTCTTTTGCTGTTGGGTGCTTTTATAAGCAGTGCTGCCGTTAACATTCGAACGATGCCTTTTGGTGAGACGTGGGCGGGTCTGTTGGCATGTACCAGTACGAGGGCTGTAATCGCTGGATGGTAGGTGAAGCGTATGCTCAGCTTTCGCAGATGCTGCTGCCGGTTTTACAAAGTGGTTGTAGTCATTCACACTCCCACCACCACGGCAGCGCTAGCTCCCAGTCACATTCCTCCCACGTGCCCCAGACCAGGCAGTATCTTATCTCATCTTCGTCGCAGCCCATTTCAGATGAGGAAACCGAGGTAAAGAGACCTGCCAAGGTGGCCAGGGTAACAGCTGGGACCCCAGCCCAGGTCCTGGCGAAAGCTGGGGCTCTGAGTCATGGTCTGCGGCCCCCACGTTTTGATGTGGTGTCTGGTGCTGTGGTGAACAGAGTTGACTTAGAACCTTGGCTGTTGTAAGGTGACCTTGGCCATCCCTGGCTGGTTAGTACTGCATGGTGTTTGTCAAGAACATAACATCCCTGCGGAGCTGGTACATTCTTTCTTGGGGGTGTTAGTTACTTCTTTCTCAAAGTGATTCTTTGGGAAACTGAGACATGCAGAATGGTGAAACCATTGCTTAGCAGCGTAGGAGAGCAAGAAACTGGGCTGACGTTTCCTCTGGTTTGCATATTTCCCATGCTTTCCTCATTCTGCCTTCTGTGTGCGTATGTTCTCTGCAAGCTGGCTGTCGCTGTTGGTGCTGTCTTAGTCCCCCCCAGCCTCCCCGGGGCAGAAATTGGCATTTTCCTCAGAGCTGTACCTTGTCTCCACGTGTCACCAGATGTGCGGTCATTCTGACTCTTTCCTTCCCACCCTACAGGTGTCTTTATCCTCAACCTTGTGTGCCGAGACTTGGGGCTAAAGGACTCAGTGCTGGGTGGGCTCAAGGCGGTGTTCCCCCTCCTGTATGTCCGGCGCATCGAGGGGGAAGTGAACGAGATTCTGTTCTGTCAGCTGCACCCCGAGCGGAAACTTGCCACACCAGAGCTCTTGGACATGGCCCAGGCCTTGGAGCAGACCCTGCGGAAGCCAGGGCGGGGTTGGGATGGCACGTATGTCCTGTCCGATATGCTCAAGACTGTGAAGATTGTGTGATCGCTGGCCTCTCAGCCTCCTGCCTGCCTGACCTTGGGCTCCTGGCCTGCCAGAGATCGACGAAATAGAACCCACAGTACTTTTTAAGCCTCGTATTTTTCTTGGTTTCCTACTCAGCTGTATGGGACCTTCAGCCTGGTGACGTTGCCTGGAGAGCTGGGAAAATAAAAACATTCTTCCTGTGCTGTCCTCTTCAGTACCACTGGTTGGTTGCCTTTGCTTCCAATACCGTGCCCTTGGGTAGAATTCAGTGTTGGAGACCCCACCAGTCGCTGATGCCTTAACGAGTGAGCAAGCTCCTTAGGGAAAGGGTCTTCTTTCAAGAAGCTGTTACACCTGAACTGTATTTCCTGCTTTTTTCTCTTTGCCTATTTTTTTTTCTCTCTTCACCCAATACCCTATCCAGTCCTCTCATTCCCTACCATCCTTTGTCCTTCCCTTGGGTATGGAGAGAACGATTTTCTCTAGGGAAGGAGGTCCCCGATGATGGAGCACAGTGTGGTCAGTCCGCTGTGATTGCTGGTTTGCCTTTGCTCCATCCTTCTGTCGGTTCGGTAGGAATGATCTCAACTCTGTGCCAGCACACTGTGAACAGAGTGGGTTCCCCATAAGCACCCTTCTCAGGTTTGATAATTTGCTAGAGCAGCTCACAGAACTCAGAGAAAAAACAGTTTACCCACATCACCAGTTTATTATAAAAGGACACAACTCAGGAACAGCCAGATGACAGAGATGCCCAGGGCTAGGTGTGCATAAGGGCTGGGAGCTTCCTGCCCTCTGTGGGCACGCCACCCTCCCAGCACCTTGTGTTCACCCACCCGAAAGCTCTCAGAACCCCGTACTCTTAAAATTCTTATGCAGGCTGCACAGTGTAGGCATGATGGATTAATAACTAAATTTCCAGCCCTTCCCTTTCCCAGAGGGTGGGGCCTGGGGCTGAAGGCTCCCAGCGTGTAACCATGGCTTGGCCTTTCTGGTTACTCGCTCCCATCTGGGACCCCACCAAGGACCTCATTAGAGCAAAGGATGCTCTTCTCACCCAAGAAGTCAGAGAAGTTTAGGAGCTCTGGGTCAGAAACTGGGGTCAGAGACCAACGTGCACATTTTATTCACGCACCTATCCACTCACACGCACCCCAGCTCCTTGCCCTCTGGGTGGAGGACGGTAGGTGAGGGGTCAGCTAGCTGCACTGGTGACTTCCTCTATGGAGCACGCAGCCCCGCTCCCACTGTAACGGCCTCGGTATACCTCTGAGGACTGTAGCCCAGTAAACCCTAGGTCATCCAGTTTCCGTCCTGGGCCTTGTCTTGCCATTTGGTTTCTATAAATTTGCTAACAGTAACTGCTGATAAGGAGTAGAATTCTCACGTTGGGTTTTTCTTTTTTATATTCAATAGGATTTTTTTTTTTTTGAGAGACTGCTCTGTGCCAGACTCCATGCTCCATGCTGAGAATAGAAAGAGGAAAGGGCCAGGGCCCCTGATGTTACTGCCGAGCTTGGGAGGCGAATTGCAGCACATGGATGAGTTACGGAACCACATGTGCTGAGAGTGTGAGGAACGGGTGCGGGGTCAGGCGTTTGCTAAGTCATCTCAGCTCCTCCTCAGAACAGACAGGAAGGTGGCCAGTCTCAGTAAAACCTGCCCCCTTACAGTGATTGAAGGCCTGGACGCAGGTTGTTTTTCTAGCTCGGGTCTGAGCTGGTTCCCATGCTTCCCAGTAGAGGGCACTAGAAACCACGTTTAAGTTCTGGTCCATCTGGAAAATTCCTGCTGGGAAAGGGTCTTTCAAGAAGCTGTTTCACCTGAACTGTATTTCCTGCTTTTTTCTCTTTGCCTATTTTTCTCTCTCTTCACTCAATACTCTATCCAGTCCTCTCATTCCCTACCACCCTTTGGTCCTTCCCATGGGTGTGGGAAGAATGATTTTCTCTAGGGAAGGAGGTCCCCGATGGTGGAGCACAGAGTGGAGGCACAGACCCTTTTCCCCCAAGTCCCTTATTTTAGAAACAATGGCAGGAAATAAAGCAATGAGATCATGCTCATGGGATTTGAAGGAGCTTTAATCTAGGAAGCATATAAGAAATAAAAATATAACACATGTGCCTCTGGGCCTGGGGTGGCAGGTCAAGCTTTCTTTAAAAATCTAAGTCATTTCTATCGTAGTAAACAGTCATCACAGGAAAGGTTGGCAAAACTGATTTTTGATTGAAATAATGGATACACACACACACACACACACACACACACACACACATACATATACACATACACATATTAGTGATGCAAGTAGTTGGGTTGAAAAGTAGCACCTCCACCCCAAAGAAATATCTACGTCTTAACCCCTGGAATCTGTAAATGCGACTTTACTTGGGGGGAAAAAAGGATCTTTGCAGGTGTAATTAAGTTAAGGAGCCCAAGATAAAATCATCCTGGATCAAAGCAGCCCTAAATCCAAAGATAGGACCTTGACTGAGGATTCCTGGCCTCTATCATTGTGAGAGAAGCAATTTCTGTTGCTATAAGCCACCTTATTTACAGTAATATTTGTTTCAGTAGCTCCAGGAAATGCACACACAGCCTTAAAGGTGCTGCTCAGTCCACAGAACCAGAGATGGGGTGGCCTCTGGGCCACATGCCCCCTCCAGATACCTTTAGTTCAGCCAGAAACACGGGGCCGTGCTCAGTGGAAGGTTAATTTTGCCCCGCTGCCTAGGAAGAATTCTGAGTGCTCCACCCAGTGCCCCAGGAACCATCTGGTTGTCCTCTCAGGATGAAAGAACTGTCCTGACTGTGGGAGGCCTTGGGATAACTTCCCCTAATCCTTACAGCCCCCCCCTGAGTACGGGAGGGGACCTCGGCCTGCAAACCCAGGTGACTTGATCTGTCTGGACTCCTACCTGCGTGTCTTCCGCTCATTGTTGACCAGGAAGCTCCCTTAGGGCAGCGAGCTGGTCAGTCACAGGCTCTCCCCATCGGCCTCCTCTCTCAGGGCTCTTTGTCCTTTATTGCCCGACGTCCAATGTCTTGAAAACCATAGTTTCGTCTGCTTTGTCTTGGATTTCAGTTATTCCAAGTGAGAAGAGAAAATCTGGTCCCTGTTACTCCATTTTGTTGAAAATGGAAACCAGGGCACATATTCTAATCTTAATGACCTCATTTTCCCATGAGTATTTTTTAGTCCTATTTTTGTTCACATGAGAAAACTTGGGTTTAGTTCTAAGCTAATTAAAGGTAAATCCAGGGTTTAATTCCGGGTGTGTTTCCTTCCCAAGCTTGAGTTGTTGAGTTCACTGTGCTAGGCTCAGGGCGTCGGAAGGTGCCCAGGTTACAGGCGGCTTCAGTGACGTGGGAGCTTAGTTAAGTCATGTGATTGTTCTCTGCCAGGGAACTCCAGAGAACCTTTCATTGCTACTCTTTGTAAAGGCTGTGACTGACTTCTCTTCCTGTGGGCACATATCTTCAGCCTGGCTTCCTGTTCCCTTTAAAGTGATAACTCTATCCTATTAACTTATTTTCCTTTAAAACTTCCCTTTCTCAAGTGCTTCGTATTGTACCTGGCACACAAAAGGCCCTTTTAAAAATTTAATTTATGAAATTGATTGGGGTGACATTGGTCAACATGAACATATAGGTTTCATGCATCGGTTTCTGTTACAAGATCTGTATATTGCACCGTGTGCCCACCACCCGAAGTCAAATCTCCTGTCATCTTATATTAGGACCCTCGTCTTCCCCTACGCCCTCAAAAGGCCCCTGGTACATGATTATTGAATGAATGAATGAATGAATGAGTGCGTGCATGGTTGGTTGAAGAGAAGGGCGCAGTCTCCAACCCTCACAGCAGGAGGCTCCCAGGACTCCACAGTTCATGGACACCCATGAAATCACATGAACCTCAGCAACCAGTAACTGGCCCCCCTGGCTCACTAGAACCCTTAGATCTCTTGAAACTCCTTTCCCCTCCCTGTAACAGTATTTCTGAATTGTTACGATTTCATGAAGCAGTAACTACCAAATACTTGGAACTACTGGAAAAAAGGCACTAACGGTGGCTACACAAATAGAAGGTGCTAATTTTTGTTCCCTCAAGTCAGAAACCGAAGTCTGAAGTTCTGATTGTACTGGTTTGGGGCTATAAATGTCACCTGTTAAGAAGAAAGCCATGACATTCACAAATGGACACTTTTCCCAAGATACTCCCGGCTTCAATAGCTCCTGCTGATCTGACAATGTGATGACTCAAGGCCCCTTCCATTACCATGCTCAGCCATTACCAGAGACGGAGCACTTTCCTCCTATGGTCCTCTTGCTGCCCAGTGAGCTGTGGAACAAAGAAGGGCCAGAATACCACCCCACCACCATGTGTCTGTGTCCTTCAGGCATGGTGACACCCCATCCATCGCTGATTCCACAGGATGGCTAATATTAGAGGATTTTCAGGGCCCTTGGGAATTCAGTTAAATTTAGCTGCTGTTTATGGAGCATATGCCGGGCCCAGTTCTCACAGGTGGTCTTTGGCTTTCTGTTTGGGGGCCCCAATATTTCCCTCTACATCCTGATTGTTAACTGAACATGACAGCATGGTTGAATAGTATGGACCTGGAAGAGACAATATGTATATTTTTAGTGGCTATAAGGATCATTTCATCTCAATATGAAAAGGTAATTTCTCAATTTATTTCTCACATCACTTCTTTATGACAGTCAACTATACCAGGTACAGAAACTATTGAAGAAACAGCCCCTAATCCTAAGAAGCTGATGTAAATATCTACATGTGATCCATTGTGATTATGACCTGAAGTTCCAACAATGAAAGCCTTCCTCAATTAGACTAGATTACAAATTAAAGTCTGGGCTTTCCTGTCCCTGGATGTTTCAGGCAGGTGCTGGATATAATGCAGCAAGGCAGACTTGGATTTCTAGCTTACGTAGTTAGGTGAACGGCAGGGCATTTCTCCAAAACAGGATGCTGCAGATGGAGGCAATGCCCTGGTTCTGCCACTCACTAGCCGCCTGAACTTGACAAGTGACTTGTCTTGTTACTTCTCTTCATCTATAAAATGAAATTGTGACCACTAGATGGAATGGTATGTCGAAGACACTCCATGCTTGAAGGCTAACGATAATAACAATCCAAGAAAATCATTCTTTTGGGTGTTAAAATGTATGTTTTACTTCTCCCAAGAAATACAG